ACTCGCCTGACCTTGGGCAAGTATTTGACTATTCTTTAGGCTTTATCTCCTATAAAATGATGATGAATTCAATGTTTTCCATGAGCCTAATTAATGGCAGAGGGTGACAAAACGTGAAGAAATTAGGCTAGGAAAAAAATGACCGCATCCTGCAGTTCTGAAATGAGAAAACGGCGATACAGAGACACCATCTCTAGTGAAAATTATTTTTATAACATTGCATCAGGAATTTTTTTCTTAGAAAGACGCTTGTCTTAGCATTTTAGTGATATAGATTTTAAAGGAATGTAAAAAAAATGTTTTAAGATGAGTTTTAAAAAATCAATATTGCCACAGCCACTCTGCTACACCTGATCTCAGCCAAACGGCAAGAAGCAAAGCCACTCTGCTTCGTACTGGGCTCTAGAAACCACTTTACTCTGCGGAAATAAATTAACTCAGTTCTCCTGAATGGAGTATTTCTTTCTTGCTAGGTGTAAAACCATAAATCACACTTACAAAACTTTGTGCAATACTGAGGTAGACTAAGGGAGACCTTATCAGAAAATGTGCTTCTTTGTACTATCTGTAAAAGGCAGCGAGTTTATACCTGGTGCAGTTTAGACAGGTCCCAGGCTTATCACTTTTACAGATTCTTTATTCCAGTCTTGAGGCCATTTGGGGTAGGAGTTACAATGGGCAAATGGGCATATCTTGAACGGTACCTCGAGACCACTTCTCCAGCCCTTGCCTGTAAATGTGAATTTCATCGACATGTACAATGGCATTTTATTCAGCCAAGAAGAAGAGGAAAATCTTCTCTTCTTGGGGGTGCAGGAGAGGGCAGGTCATCTTGATGAGCACGCAGTGGCAAAAGGTGTTTCCCCCAAAGAAAGCTCTCAGTGGAAGAAGAGGAAAGGAGACTGGGCAGGCAAAAAGATTAAAACATCAGGCTTTGCCTTAGTGAAATTAGACTCTCTGAGGAAGTAGGAGGTTGGAGTTAGAAAGTGAGGGGCTTGAGAAGTGAGACTTGAGTAAGGAATAAGAACAGAGAGGCAGCCCAGTGGACACAAGGGGTGGAGTGAAGCTCTGGGTATCTTGAAAAGTGAGCCTGTCTGTCAGATGGAGAAGAATATGACCTAGAGAAACCAAGCTTGTTTGAATTTCTTTATGCTGCAAGTGAATTATAATACCACTTTCAGCAAAGCTGATCGATTGGGCTGAAAGCATGCAGTTCTGGGCTGAATGTTTTAATATATTTTTTACCCCATGCCTCAGGCAATGCTGCCTTCCCTCATACTTCACTCTCCTCATCTCCGGCCACAGATGCTTTTATCACTGTCACAGCAGTGGTTTGTAGAACGAGGAAAGGAGAGCAAAGCCAAGCCCTAGTGAGTTGTGTCCCACTCCTCTTGGTCTGCAGGGTCCAGATCCTTAGCTGTAATCTCCAAGGGGCCCTGGAGTGCTCAGACTCTGGTTGGGATACTGTCTTTAGAGGAAAAGACAAAGTCAGATGTGTCTGATAGCCCAGGGCATGAGTTGTCCAGTCTCCGGTTCACCTGCATTCCATAATAATTATACACAACAGAAACACATAATTAAAGACCTGTCACAGTGCACCTATTTATCTGGTTTTTAAAAATGTCCTAATATTTCAAAATGTAAAAAACTGCAGAACATTGCCCTTTTCTTCTCCCGGTGGTGTTATATCATGCTCAATGGACTTATTATAGGCCTCATATTTGTAACACTCCAATGCTGGCCGTGTTTTTTAGAGTGTAGAGGGAGCCAGCTATAGAATGGCAGATGCGTGGATCTCAAACATAGAACTGTGTTTCTGGTTCCACACATGCAGGCCAAGCCTCCATTTTTCTAATACTACATTTTAGAGGTAGGAGTTGAATAGCACCTAATGATTCTATTTACCTCCTTAAAACAAAATGCTAAAGAACAACACTGGGATTGAGTGAGGGGCCTCTCCAAGTCACGGCCTGCCGTCAGCTCCGGCTGGACCTCACAATAACCTTACATGCCGCTGTCCTTCAAAAGATTAAAGAACAAAGCTGTTGGAAGGTTCCTCTCTTGAACAGCCTCATTTTTCAAAGAGATAAATCTGAAACAGTGGTGTGCAGACCATCCTTGGTTTGTGTAGCTACTGGGTGGAGGGAAGCAAGCACTGACCTTGGAGTTAGCTTTGCACTGGGTGCTGTAGAGCAGACTGTTTAAACTAGCTGAGCCTCAGTTTTCTCCTCAAAAAAGTGGGAATACTAACACCCGCTTCACAAGTTAAACTATGAGTAAGGCTCCTGAGATGTTGGGAATGTTCAAAATACGTGAGATCCCTTTGTCCGCTGCAGAGCCAGTTCTTCAACAGTGGCAGCAGCAGAGGACAGAGCATGGTCTTCCTATTAGCAATGAAGGAGAAGGTGATGGCAGGATGAGGAAGCTCCAGGTTGATGGTTTTGATTTACTTCATCAAGTAGAAGTCAAGACCAGGAGCAAAGGGGAGGTGGGAGTGCAGGGGGAAGGATAAGATGTAAGAGAAGAGGAAAAGGTATAAATCAGGTATTTTGAGGATTGATAAGTGGAATTCACTAGGATTCAGTAGGCTTCTGAAGGATTTTGAGTACCCTTTTGAGGCTGTGATCATGAAACTAAGGTGATACCAGGCTATGCAACCATATGGTTCTCTAGCAAGTCTTATGTACACCTGGGCAGACACAGAATGAGTGGGAGGCTGGAGTTTTTGCAAGGTGAGTGAGGTAAAGGGAGAGAGGCAAGGAAATGGAAATGGAGTCTTTTCAAGGGCATGATCATAGTGGTACTCACGAAATTTAAGCTAAATAAGGAGAGAAGAAAAGACACTAGGAGGCTTCCCTGAAAGTAGTGGGGAGCAATTTGGCTATTGATTCCACCTCCAGAATGAATTAGGTTACCACCTCCCTTAGAAGACAGAAGCAGTTAAGACCAGTTTTGTTTTAAAATAATAATTATTAATCTCCATTATACTAGGAAACTAAATCTAGACGTTTATTAACAGAATAATACAACTTGAGCAAGGACAGTTTATCCTACCAATACACAACTACTTGGGTATTATATCAAATGATGAAAGATGAAAAAGCAAAGGATCGTATCCTCAGATACAGCAGCAATCATCCATCACTGTGCAACCACCCCACAACTCGGTGGCATAAAGCGACCACTTTATTATACTCATGAATTCTAAAGGCCAGAAATCAGGCAGAGCACAGCAGGGGCCATTCATCCCCGCACCACGATGTCCAGGGCCGTGCTGGGTCACCTCCAGACTGAGACGGCTTGATGACTGAGAGGCAGCATCACCTGGATGTATCCTCGCTCCCTTGTTTGGCACTCGATGTTAGCTGTTCGCTGGGACCTCGGGTGGGCTGTCGGTGGGAGATGTAGACATAGCTTCTGCAGGTGCCCTCTCCATGGGTTAATCTGAGTTTTCTCACAGTGTGGTTGATGGATTCCAAGAGCAGAACGTGGGAGTGCATGGCATTTTAACAATCCAGGCTTGGGAGTAACGTAGTATCGCTTCTGCTGTGCTCTGTCCAGGCAGTCGCAGAGATTACCCTGGTTCAAGGAGAGGGGATATAAACGCCACGAGTCCATGGAAAAGGGGCTAAGCATGTGGGATGAGGAGGAATGCTGTGGCATCTTAAAAAGTACAATCTGCTACAGATATTGAAAAAATGTTCAAAAACATTGAGCAGCCCTTTCTTTTTAAAGCTCTTAGATGAAAGGAAATAAGAGGATGGGTATGTACCTAAAATAATTAAAGGCAGGGTCTCAAAGACCTATTTGTATTCCCATGTATGTAGTAGCATTATGCACAATAAATAGCCAAGAAGTAGAAGGAACCCAAGTGTCACTGACGGATGAATAAACCAAATGTGCCATATACATACAATGCAATATTATTCCGTTTGAAATTCTGACATCCGCTGCAACATGGATGAACCGTGGGGGCATTATTCTAAGTAAAACAAGCCAGTCACAAAAACACGAATACTCTATAATTCCATTTATATGACTTATTGAGAAAAGTCAAATCACAGAAACAAAGTCGAATGGTGGTGACCAGGGGCTGGGGGTAGGGGAGAAATGGGAAGTAATGGTCTAATGGGTACAGAGTTTTAGCAAAATGAAAAGGGTTTTGGAAGTTGGTTGCACAATAATGTGAATATACTTACTCTACTGACCCACCCACTTAAAGTGGTAAATGGTTAATTTCATGTGCATTGTATCACAAGTATTTTTTTAGAAATAGGACATTTTCTAGATATGCTAACTAATACCACGGTCGATATTGCTTATGGGCGTGCTCTAGAACAGAGTCATGGAGGGAAACTGAAAAACTATTTCCCAGGCTCTTTTGTGGCCTCAGGGCTCAGGATGTGTCTGGGTCCCGCCCAACAGAAACACTCCTGAGACTTTGATCTGGAACGGAGTGATCGGTGGAGAAAGACAGCAAGCAAAGCATCCGCCGTGAAGGGCAGACTGTGCACAGGTGGTACGAACCTGCAGCCAGTCACTGGAGCAGCAGCTTATGAATTCGGCAGATGACTTCTTGATTCAGCAGCTTTCAACACCAGTGCTGGCAGAACTCCCAATTTAGGTCAAGGCAGAGCTATTACAGGGTCCAGCAATCGCCTAGGTCCCACTCCTCCCGCCTCAGTGAAAGGGTCTGGAGGCAAAAACCATCATGCTTTGCCTGGGACTTGTAAACACAGAGAATCAAAGACACCATTTTTAAAAGAAAACGATTGGAACTCTCGAAAGAGTTAAGTAAGACAACTATATATAAAAAAAAGTCTTTTCTTTAACTGAACAATAATTAAGTAGAAATGTAATTTTAAAATTCCCATTCCTAACCACAAAAACTTAACAAGAACCAGGAATAAGCTTACAAGAAATGTGCAGGACCTATTTGGCACGCAGATTCTGTTCCAATCCTTCTTCTCCCCCTCTGTTTCACCTTCCGAATGTGTCCCACGTCCTCCTAACTAAAATGAACTGAAAGGGATATGATAACACATACTTCATGAGTCCGTGGCCAGTGAGGTTCGGTGGTTGGAGCGTGGTCCCATAACCGAAAGTTTGAAGCTTCCCTCCCTCGACCCGGCTCAGTCCTGGGTTGCGGGTTCATCCCCAGTCTGGGTGCGACGCGGTTAACTCCCAGTCGGGACATGGTCATTCCCAGGTTCTGGTGCGCTGTCTCGGTCCGGGTGCAGACGGAGGCAACCGATCAATTCTTCTCTCCCACCCATGGTTCTCTCTCTCCCTTCTGCTCTCTCTCTCTCTAAAAAAGCAAATGAAAATGCCCTCAGTTAAGGATAAAAAAAAATACTTCATGCGAATAGTTTCCACTGAAGTCTCAGTAATAAGAAAACCTATTTTTGTCCCATCAGCTGAGCAAATTAAAATTCGGTTCTTCTTCAGTGGTTGCTGTTGTTTTTCATTCTAAGGTTTTGTTGTTTTTGTTTTAATTCCTATGTTAGAGTTAAGAAAACAAAAACAAAAAAACAAACAAAAAAGAAAAGAAAAGAAAAACTGTACATCCATAAATCAAAGCGAACTTTTACATATTTAGACAAAGGAGGTTAAGAGGAAAACAATTCCAAACCAGCAATGCTCTGCCTCAGGGAGAGAAACTTTTAATGTAATCCTTATGAAACTGTGTTTCTGGCAGTCTCTTCATAAATCGTGCATGTATAAGTAATTTTCAGAGATTTAAGGAAATGAACTGTTGCACAAGGGATAATGGGGTATGTTACCTTTTTTGTATTTGTTTTCTTTCTCTTTCCTTTTTAGTTTTTTATTGACTGAGTTTAGAGAGAAGAAGAGTGGGGGAGAGACAGACAGACAGACAGACAGACATCAATATGTTGGTCCACTTATTTATGCATCCATTGGTTGGTTCTTGTATGTGTTCTGACCAGAGATCAAACCCGCAACCTTGGTGTATAGAGATGATGCTCTGACCAACCCAGCTACCCAGCCAGAGACATTCTTTTATTTAGAGCCCCTGGTAGTTTACTGACTGCACCCCCAACCCCCAACCAAAAGAATAAGAAGGAGGAGGAGGATTGAGAGTGGAAAAAGGCAGAGGGGGAAGAGAAGGAAAGGAAGAGGAAGACACTGTCTTTGTTAGAAGGAGTAAAGAGAAGAACAGGTCTGATGAAGTTTGGATGCTTTAGCTGTATTTATCGTAAGTAAACTCTGTTTAAGGAACATCACCAAAATTAGGGTAAACTGCAGGTTCTTACAGAGATTCAGAGCTATATTGATTTCTGTACATATTATGAGAAAGGAATCAGTGCAGAAATTATAGAGGTGTTTCTATAATCAATGAATTTGAGGGTTTTATAGGGAAGCTTCAGGATTTAAAAATATCTGTCGATATCCCATGAATCAATGGTCATTTACAAACGTATCAGTTGGGTCCGCTGGGAAGCAGAAACTGAAATGAAGTTAAGAGTGCAAAAGGCTTGTTGAGTGGTAACATCTGTGAAGGGAAAGGAGGAAGCAGGGCGGGGCAGAGGAGCCATCAGACTGCAGAGCAGATTTGCCAGTGACTCCGCCATCCCAATGGGGAGCTCCAGATCAAAGATCGTCCGTTAGAGGAGTCCTGCATTGGGTGGAAATGGCCAGTCTTGTAGTCCACCATCTTGCTGCAGCATTGATTAGGGCCACCTTAAAAGCAGTAGGGCTATTGGCTGAAAAACTGAAGGAGACTCCGAAGGAGTTAGCAGTTGGAGGCTGCCCGCACAGTCCTCACAGTTAGGCAACAAGCCCTTTCCCGAGAGGGCATCCGAGCTCCACGGCATCTCCATGTGTGCTGTGGCAAGTTAGCACTGATGTACAAAAAAACAAATCCTGCACTCCTTCCTTACACTTTCTTATTTTTTAAAAGTGATAAGGATGTAGCTCCGAGGGATGTGGCTCAGGGGGTCAGGCATCCTCCTGCAAACTGATCGTGTTTCTATCGCATATCAATGTTTCTCTCCCTCTCTCACCCTCCCTTCCTTCTCTCTAAAAATAAATAAATAAAATCTTAAAACAACAAAAAAACATAAGGGTGTAAAACCTATAAATAATGTAAGTTTTCCAAAGATGGCAACTGACCAGTTGGCCTGACTGGCTTCATCATTTGCTGTATGTACATGGAAGAGAACAGGTACTTTGTAGGTCACATGTTTTATCTATTAAAATCTGGAGTGACTCCACTGGTTTGGACTCCACCAGCTCATATGAACTCTCAGTGGGGTAACATCCCTGATATTTGAAGAATTTTTTTCAAGAAAACATTTTTTAGTAAAATTTAGTTGGCATACAATATTACACTAGTTTCAGATATACAACATAATAATTCAACATGTGTATGTATATCTTACAAAGTGATCACTGTTATAAATCTAGTAACTATCTGTCACTATGTGAAGTCGTTACATTATTTACTACATCTCTTATGCTGTACATTACATCTCTCTTATTTATTTTATTTTTAAATACATGTTATTGATTATGCTGTTACAGTTGTCCCATTTCCCTTTATTCCCCTCTGCCCTGCATTCCTCCTCCCACCTGCATTTTCTGCCCCCCCTTAGTTCATGTACATGGGTCATACATGTAAGTTCTTTAGCTTCTACATTTTTTATATTATTCTTAACCTCCCCATGTCTGTTTTTTACCTACCATTTATGTTACTTATTTCCTGTACCTTTTCCCCCATTTCCCCCTCTTCCACCCCACTGATAACCTCCATATGATCTCCATTTCTGTGATTCTGTTCCTCTTCTAGTTGTTTGCTTAGTTTTTTGTTTTTTGTTTAGGTTTGGTTGTTGACGCTTGTGAGTTTTTTGACATTTTACTGTTCATATTTTTGATCTTCTTCTTTTTCTTAGATAAGTCCCTTGAACATTTTCTGTAATAAGGGGTTAATGATGATGAACTCCTTTAACTTGAACTTATCTGGGAGGCACTTTATCTGCCCTTCCATTCTAAATGAAAGCTTTGCTGGATGGAGTAATTGTGGGTATAGGTCTTTACCTTTCATGATTTTGAATACTTCTTTCCAGCCCCTTCTTGCCTGCAAGGTTTCTTTTGAGAAATCAGCTGATAGACTTGTGGGCACTCTTTTGTAGGTAACTGTCTCCTTTTCTCTTGCTGCTTTTAAGGTTCTCTCCTTATTTTTCATCTTAGGTAATGGAAATATGATGTTCCTTGGTGTGTGCTCCTTTGGGTCCAACTTCTTTAGAATTCTCTGGGCTTCCTTGACTTCCTGGAAGTCTATTTCTTTTGCCAGATTGGGGAAGTTCTCCTTCATTATATTTTTGCATAAGTTTTCAATGTCTTGGTCTTCCTCTTCTCCTTCTGGCACACCTATGATTTAGATGTTGGAATATTTAAAGATGTCCAGGAGGTTCCTAAGCCTCTCCTCATTTTTTTGAATTCTTGTTTCTTCATTCTTTTCTGGTCAAATGTTTATTTCTTTCTTCTGCTCCAAGCTGTTGATTTGAGTCCCAGTTTCCTTCCTGTTACTGTTGGTTCCCTGTACATTTTCCTTTATCTCACTTTTCATAACCTTCACTTTTCTCTCTATTTTTTAACCATACTCAACCATTTCTGTGAGCATCCTAATTACCAGTGTTTTGAACTCTGCATCTGATAGATTGGCTATTTCTTCATCACTTAATTATATTTTATCTGGAGCTTTGAGCTGTTCTTTCATTTGTGCCATGTTTTGTTTTTTTTTTTTGTCATGGCACCCTGTTACATAGTGAGGGGCAGAGACTTAGGTGTTCGCCAGGACCGGGCAACCCACCACCTAGTTGTGGCACTGTATGTGGGGGAGGGGGCCGAGTGGGAACAAATGCTGCTTGCTTGGCTCTGGGTAGATTTCAGTCACTTCCTCTGCCACCCACAATCAAATTAGGGCCCTTCTGGTGCTGACTCCTGGGTGGGCAAGTTTGTGTACATTTTAGGATCCTGTGGGTCTCTCTCATGACCTCTCCTGTGAGGCTGGGAGTTTCTCCCACTGCCGTAAGCCCCACAGGTGTTTTCAGTTCATGTTTTGAGGCTTTATTTCCCAGCACTGGAACCCTGGGTTGTGAAGTCTGTCTAGCTCCCCAGTTGTTCCTCCTGGTTTATCTGCACGTGAATGTGGGACTGCCCTGGTCCCCCAGCCGCTACCTTGCTGCAAGTCCTCTCCACCTGGCTGCCCATCTCCGCCCCTCCTCTGGTCTGGATGAGTGTTTCTTCTTTAACTCCTTGGTTGTCAGATTTTCATACACTTTGGTTTTCCAGCAGTTCTAGTTGGTTTTTGTTTATAAATTTGTTGTTGTCCTTTTGGTTATGCAGGGAAGCACAGTGTGTCTACTTATACCTCCATCTTGGCCAGTAGTCCGATATCTGAAGAATTGATAGCAGATATATTGTGGAATAAATTTATCTGTTGTGATTTAGCTATATGCTTTATAGAATGAACATGGAATAAAACAGTAGTATAAAAAAGATCACTAGTTTTATATAGTTCAGGAGACATTACCACTTCAAAGCACGAGGTATATCTTCAGAAGAACTCAAAATACTGTTTTAGAGTCCTTATAGATACTAATATAATATAAATAATAATAGAAATTGTCTGTCAGGTAAATACAATTTTCTCCTTTGGCTTATTATTACTCTATCACTCCAAAGGAGCACCCTAAAATATATTAGAAAGATTAAGTAATTAGCTTCCTAGTCTGTCAATAATTATCAAAATCACAAATGTACTTTGCCTTTGACCCAAGAATCCTCTTGAGGGAATTTATCCTCAGATATACTTAAATACAAGGAAAACCACTTCATTCATTGCAGCACTGTTTGTAATTAGAGATTAGGGAAAAAAATGTCTTTCAAAAGAAAACTGGTAAACTATTGTACATCCATGTAATAGAATTCTATGTAACTATAAAAACATGACTGTGAGTGGGAGATGAAGCTTCTTTTGGGGGTAATGAAAATATTCCAAAAATGACTGTGATCATTGCACAACTCCGAATACAGTCAAAACCACTGATTTGAACAATTTAAATAGATTAATTGTACAGTATGTGAATTTTATCTCAATAAGCTGTTTTTTTAAAATAACATGTATTTGTACACATTACTAATTAATTACAAAGGGTAAAAATAACTTTATGTTGTAGAAACTTGGAAGATTTCACCTTAAACAAGTAATCAAATTTAGTGTCAGTAATGATAGGACAAACTGTCATTGTGTCCCCTCAATATTATATTCTCTGAAGGACATAG